AGGATTTCTCACAGCTTTTCAAGATCTTATTACAATAATTGTTACGGTGCACGTCTGAATGAAAATTCTATATTGCTGTGTATGGTGATTTTATTGGATCAGTAAAAGCAAATTTACTAAATGTTTATAATAATATTCAACTACAATTATAATTTCTGAATGATTTTTTTAAATCTTTTGTTCTATTCAAACAATTGTGACGTTTGGTAAATTAATTATTTAACTAATTAATTGTTTTATATTATTTTATAATGATTGTACATTTATCTTAACTTATAAAATACTCTGAAGGGTCAATGGAAGAAGACATATTTTATCTACTGTATGATCGAAGTAACATGATTGAAATACAAAATACAACTCTCGTCTATCAAGGGATTGAGCTAGCAAGAAAAAACAGGTGGATTGGTTAAAAATAAATAATACCCATTGAAGTCAAGAAATTCTCATTATACAAGTTGAATAATATCTAATGTTATATTGCATTGTAATATTGAATATTTTTAACAAAGATATGATATTTAAATTAACTGACATTTTTCTCAATACTTACAGAATACAGCCTTTCAAAATCCGCTATTTTTTCACTGTTTGAAGAATAAAACTTCTCAATTTCAACAAGGATTTATGAGTGTATCTATTGAATGGAATTATTGTTTTCCTCTAATGAAGTAAACGAGTAAAAATAATTCTATTGATGAAACTTGTACAAATAACCATGCGATGGAAAATGAATAATTATAAATGAAATTAATTCAATATGACATCTATGTCATCGAATATTCTGGTAGTATTTTTCACATGATTTGACGACCCAGCCTCGAACTAAATTATTTCGATATCCCATTCCCAACGTGTATAATGATAGCAACTCCCCACCAATAGCATGCATGTTTAATGCCACAGAATAATTAATCGATACGCATGGTCAGTATATTATCATACACCACAATTACCATACAGCTGACGATCACGCACTTAAAATCTGATTAATTTATCTTGTTAATCGCATTGATGTTCTACCCTAATATGTTGTAAGCATTATTTTGTAAATTCTAATAGCAAGTTACCAATATAATTTTAAAAATTATGCATATACATGGAGATGTAAACGAAAAGAATTGAATTCTTGATAGAACTTTCTTTAATGTCCTAGAAAATATCAGGAACTTGCAACGATAGCATGTTATCAATTGACGTCACTTTCAATATAACTTGGATTAAATTTTATTGAAAAAGATATTCAACATTTTTTCTTTATTTATGTGCTAACAGACTTACATTATTATTGCTATTGTTCAATATTCTTTATCAATAACAACAGTTCCATTTATTCCACTGAAAGTTTCTATACTATTTTTCAGTATCAGGAAGTATTAAATAAATTAAGTCTCCAAGGAAATCGACAAAATTTAATGATGTCCAGAAGATAAATATTGATAATATTAATAAATGAAGCACAAGTTGTTGAAAAAAAATAATTATTACAAATCTGACATTCTCAGAAGATCCTAAAGCATTTAATTATTTAAATAAGTCAAGTAACATACGAAAAATATATAGGAAATTTTACACCACGTCAACATGATGGTAATGTTGATATCTCCAGCCAAGGTGTCAAGAGATATGATATTTGATTCTCACGTGATGGTTTAAAATTTAAAAATTGTATAAATACTGAAGAAAAGTAGCACGAAAGAGAAAAAAATAGTGATATCAGTTTAAACCCGATGAAAATGCAAATTTTACATTCAAATACAATTGGAATTGTCGACAGAGTATGACTATGGAATCGAATATAAAGCTGATGGTGCGATCAGTGACACGTGCTACAGCTGTATCAGATGTTTCGCATTCTCGCAGCAATAGCGAGCGTGAGAGAAGCTTTGATTGATAACCTTTTCCTAATAATAACAAACACTCGCGTGAATAAGAAATATATAAAATACTTGAACGTGATCTCCAAGACAACACTCTGGTAGTAAACAAGTTAAATATTCAGACAAGAAAGAGAGTTTAGACAAGTTCGATACATCTTTTCAGTTGGCTGAATACTGAAATTTACGAATAAATTGACCATACATGAAGCAAGTATGTGGATGGTTGTTTATTCTCGAAATTAAATTGAATTGCCCCATAACTTGCCGGTCTATTAGCCCAGGGGACCGAGGCTAGTTTGCTCGTAAATCTCCGGAGTATCGGATGGGGTGGTTGGTACAGGGTGGCGCCGTGGCTCGCCAGTGTATGAACTAGAAGAGGAGAAGAGTGCTTTCGATTTCCCCGACAATGCGTCCGGAAGCTTCCAGGAAATACATGGGCGTGGTGTCGAGATAAATGTATTCTTGAATTTGCATACTTACCTCTTTGGTCATTGACCATGACCTGGGACAATAACTGCCTGTCGTCAACCGCAAACTACACAGAATATCTTATCAGCATGTCAATTTTATATGCTCAATAAATTTCATATGTACTGCATTTTAAGCACTTTTCTATTATCATGTAAATTATTCAAGAAACCTATTTTTATTTATTCTGACGCTTTTTAGAGTGGCTTATTGAAAGTGATTATGTCGGTAAAAAGTTCTATTGTGCTGTAGAAGAGAGTATGGAAAGAATGATATTTTATTTGATAGTAGTATTTATAGCGGATTATATTAATTGGAATCTCAACTTCGATAACATGATTGAGTGAACTGAACTGTTCAGCTGAAGTTAACATGAAGTTTTTAGAGATAATTGCTCGATTAAATGATTAGAAAGCATTATTAAGTATTTATAAAACAACAATTTCAGAATTCAATTCAAAAAATGAACCTTCAAGAATAAAAAAGTAAGAATAAATTTTCTCATAGTATTCTCTAATATTCCTATAGTCTAATGGACTATAGTGACTCTATGGTGATTGGAATTTTTTAAGGTCCTGGGGAATTTCTTTTTTTTTCATAAGAGCAGAAAATTATCAAAACTGACCCAGATACCATGTTAGGAATGTCAAAGATTTCAAAGAACTACTACCAGAATGTAAGTTATATGAGGTTTATACAGAGTTTTTATCTAGTTTTTGATCAAGATTTTATATTAAATACCGTTATATAACTTCTTTTGAAGCTTGATATGGTCTTGATGATAGTCTAGTGTGTTCTAACATTTCAGCTTGAGTGAGAAGAATAATTTATGATAATATTCATCACCTCCTTCATCATCAAAAGCTGTAAAAAATCTATAGAAAACAGATTACACCACCGTAACTGTAGGTATCGTATCTCTCCTAATCCTCCAACATCTCCAAGGAGTATTGGCTCAAGTCAATTAAGTCAGCTTAGCTAAGGTAATCCAGTTGTATGTGGTAGTGAGGCCGAAATATCTCATTGAATCTTTCCTTTACTACTTCTATTGGAAAAGGATTCGAGAAAAAAAAAGCCAAGGGTCAATGGATACAAATGCGTATCCTCATCATCTCCAAGTCTATCAGCATTGGCTCTAATCTTTTAGCTATTACTTGAAAGAGTCATTACTTCAGTGAAATCTTCTTGATGCAAATAACCTATGATATTCAACAGGCTTCATAGAATCTGCTCATAATTGGATTACATTTATTTCTAATCAGTTCGTTTGATTTATCAGAAAGATCTTAGCAAGGATTTCACTCACGTTTTAATTTTTGGAGGTAAGCTTGGTTTCAGGGATTTTATTAACAATTTCGTGGTGCATTTATAAGATGTATCTTTTGAAAGAAAAGATAAGCTTGAAAAAATTTTTATCCAACGAGTGGGGCTTGTAAATTTTATTTTCTGTTAATTTTTTGTAATCAGAGTAATAAGAATTACTGGAAATCGATGAAATAAGTTTTTGATTAGTATTCGAGTACCTTTAAATTTATTATTCCTTTTATTGACAACTTGAAATACTGTAGGTATCCATTACTTCAACTTCCATCTATCGAATGGAACATTTTTTGACATACTTTTGGCTAATTCGGTTATAAAATGTTGAAAAAAATTTTGAAATTAGAACTGTTTCATCCCAACTTTGACATTTCATAAGAAATAAAATTTTTTTTAATGATTTGACAAGTTTAATAGTAAAATAATAATTATATTTCTAACAAAATTTTTAAATGAAGAAACTAGAGTAATCAATCAATTGGTTGAAGCCAATAAATTTTAAAGAATATTTTTCTTGAATGAAAAAATTGTCATCAATTGGAATGAGAAAAATGATTTAGCACCTAAATAATTACCTGAATGAAGCAAAATATGCAATGAGTTTTATATAATATCGAATAAGTTAAATTTTAGCAATTTAAAAGTTAACTGAATAATGGAGAGTACTATTTGATTTTTAAATGTAAATTTTTTAACGAATTTTTGAAATAAAAACTGGGAAAATATATGGAAACTAGGAAGTTTATCTTTGAGGCAAAGTAATCCTTATTTGAAAGGCAGATCTGCGCTAGTGCGATGAAAGAATAATTTCACGCGTAAGCTCTTCTTTTACAGTACTATTCCACCCTCCGTTTTCATAGCTTTATGCATGCATACACAGAATAATACATCTATATATTTTTTGTATGTACATTCAACAGCATTATATCTACTTCAATTCACTTCAGATGCGTCCTTTGGCTAAAATTTGTGTTATTTTTCCTACTGTATTTTTTGCTATTCACACTCTTTCCCACATGTTCACTCATTTAATACTTTTCTAAACTTTCCAGGGTTTTTGATTCTCCAATAAAACAATATTGAATTATTTTCCAGTTCATTCGGGGAAAGAAATCAATTTTTTTGATTGGAAATATTCACTTTAGATGATAATAATTTAATTCAGAAAATAAAAGAAAATCAAAAATCAACAAAAATATCATTATTTGATTTTTTTTATTAATATTTTTAATTATATTATAAATAATTAACCTATTATCTTTATCACCATAGTGTATAAAATATAATTAATAAATGTCAGAAAGTCTAATAATTGAAATAACGAAAATTCTGTTTTTGTTCTACGATTTTTCTTTCGTTGGTATAATTTAATTCCAAAGTATGTGTCTAATTCCTGTTAACTTTACACCACCACAGAAACTTGACTTAGAATATGAAAGCGACTGTTTATAAAGTATCTTACAAGAGTAATTAGTAAAGACAAACTAATGAAACTAGTATTAATACATAACTCTGTTTACTGAAGACAAAGTCAACTACTTAAAACATTACAACAGTTAGAAATCTTCTGAAGTATTACATCATCACTGTCATTTCTCTCGATCTTATGCAACATCACGTTTTTAAATTTCCGTCAACACTTCCGTGCACTGGTCGTTAGGTAACAACTATACGTTGTCACGTTCACTATTCATTCTCTTGTTCTACGTGGTCTATTGGACATAGACCTTCTGTCACTGTTCATCGACATGACATGAACTTTTCTATATAATCTATCAACTTTTTTTGCAAAACTGACATCAACTAAATTCGTTTCTTACTTTTGACTGGTCTAAATATCTTCTAAACTATCATGTCAAAAAAAATGTCACCTCATGTAATGAATACACATTTTTATAAATCTTTCTTTCTCCTGTTCTCGTTTCCAAATCTCATCAGATCACCAGATCAAAATATTATTCATCCGTCTTCAACCTATTTCTAAAAACATATAAATCAATAAGAAAAATTTTTTTCTTAGTTTAGAACCAACGAATCATGTAAAAGCTTACCTTTAGTTGTTTAAAATATGATCTAGACATCCCTGATTCCATAAATCCTCAAGTATATCAGCTAGTTCTTGAGAAAAAGCATCACCACCAAGTGTTCGTGTTTTATTTGCCCAGAGTTCAATATCCCACTCAGCTAGATCATCTTGAGTAACAGCAGACATACCTCGAACAATTGGTAAAAAAAATTCTGCTATAACAAATCCAAACAATGCTCTCTGCTTATAATCATCTAGAAGTTTGGAGTAAGAATATTTCTCCAAGTCCTTGATTCCATGCTCTTGGAGATAATTAATTAAAGCATCATGATAAGCAGTGAATATTTCATTAAACCTTTCATTTCTATCTGTCCTAGAAACGTTCAAGTATAAAAAAGTTGATGTGTCTATAGCAGGTGATGAATATCTCAACATAGCAAAGTCAATCAACATACTGCTAATGCCAGTCTCAGTTTTTCTGAAGAAGACATTATTCCTCGTGAAATCTCCATGACATAACACAGCTAGTGGTTCAATTGGTCTGATAGCATCAACTTGAACATTTGTGAATGCATCACTCAAATGTTTCTCCATAATATCAATGAAATGTGGATCATAATTATGCTTTCGCATCCACTCAACTGGTCTTGTTGCAATAAGGTTAACAAATTGGTTGAATTTATCACCTGGAATGTATCGACTTTCTTGAATGTTATCAACTACATCGAAGAACTCCTTGGGCTTACGTGTTTTCATTACATAACCCATTCCGTGGAATCTACCGATTGCCTGCATTGCAGAAATCGTATATTCGAATGGAATATCATAACTCTTCGGGCAAATTTCATAACCACGATATCCAATATTCTCCATCACAATTATTGAGTTACTCTGATCTTTTTTATTTTCAATTGTCAATAAACATCTCGGAAAATCCTCACTGCCTCCGGCTATTGTCTCGAAAAAAAGTATTTCGTTATGAAAAAGTGCATCAGTGTGCATTACATCAGCCAAGGCGTCATTAAAAGCAGGCTTTTTTATGACTAAATGAAACGTATGATTTTTTTCATCAGTCTTGTCACTTACGTTATTAGTTTCACTGTATTTTATGTCCAAGAACCACACACTAGATAGAAAATGACAGTTTTCCGGTAGAGTTAGTTTATAAGTGAAATTTTGACAAGGAATATTTAAATTATCAGCAATTTTTTTCAATGCTTTATCTTTTAACCAAGTATTTATTTCTTGTTGAGCACCTAGTTGTGAAGTATCCATGATCGATCGTATATGTTAATTAACAATCCAACGTCAAGACTTCTTTATCGATTAAAAGTTGATGCAGTACTGACTGATTCACATTTAATGATACTTCATGCAACTGAGTAAATTGTTACAATCTTTTGGGTTTTTTTTTAATCATAACAATTCTTGGCATTAATTATCATTTTCATATCATTATTTACTACATCCACATTATCTCTTCAATAAATACAGTGTTTTCTTTCATAATTAGTTTTGATAAGTCACGTAACACAATTTGCAAATCAAGAAATAAACTTAACGAATCAATGATGAACTACTTAATTATTATTACAAGCTTAATTATTTTTTTATTTACAATATTGAGGTAATAAGAATATTTTTATTTTCGAGTCATAATTTATATCATTTTTCAAGTTATCATAAAAACTACTTGTAAGTTTAAATTACAGTTTTCGCAGAATTGTCTCCTTCTCTTTCACTGTTCTCCTACCACTCAGTAGGAAATTAACTCAATTGGCCTTGCTCTGTAATATCAAGTAGAAAAAGGAAGGAATAGGTACGATATGCTGTGTACGTGAATAAAACGTTCAAGTTGAAAGCAAAAAAGTGAAACAAACTTCAACTCTGGCAACGTTTTAGGATGATTTCATCTTGAGATAGATAGTCAAGAGGTTGTAGTGAATGAGAGCTGTACCTATATAAATACAGATGAATTTTTTTGTTATAAAAGTAGTATTATTATGGGGATCAATTTATCAAGAGTCATCATGTTATGTATTTCTTGCTATCTAGAATTCAAGGGAATTCGATTGTAAGATATGAATCGAAAATTTTTATATTTGAATGACATTTTATGAACCGCAAAAGGGTTCAATACTCCACCATAAACGAGGAATGTTGATGGTGGTTTTATATGCGCTATCTATACTCACGGTTTTCATTTCTCGCTCAACATTTACCGCAGCTTTTTTCCTTTTTCTTCCTTTCGTTATGACTTTATATATATTTTTTTCCTTTTTTCTTGCTGCTTCTATTCCCTTTCCGGTTTCTCCGCCTCTAGAGGCTCCTATCCGTTGGCAAATATACAAGCGCGAATTTATCGAGCTTCTCTAAACGGTTTAATCCAATTTTCCTGCAAATTGGCGGCGACAGTTTTTACCTAGCTTTCTCTATCCTCCAACTACCAAAGCGTCACGTCCAATGACTTTTACTTAGTATTTTTATTTCCCTTATTTTTCAAACTTACAGCAATACGATCTACTTTATAAGACTTTCTGAATTGCCAACTGTCAATGTGAAATTGAAATTCTTATCGAAATTTGTGTTTTGCAAATCAGTACGCAAGATTAAAAGTGTCTCTGATAGCAATAAATATTCCTTCTTTATCGTTAAATTGATAACCTTGTTTCTCTTTTAGCCATGTCATTTTTTTTAATAAACTCTAATGTTTGCAGTTATAAAGTATTCTTTGCTCGTTGACCCGCATGTAATAACGCGGTGTAAGACGTCAAGGAAAACTCGTCAAGATTTAGTGAGCAAATATCGTTGTAGAAAATTGAAATTCCTCTCTCCCTTGACAAACAGTACTCAACACGAGCCGCTTATCTTCTTTCCTCTTTTCTTCCCTACTCTATATTCTTACTAAAAGTCGATTTTAAGTCTTGTCGTACTACTGTTAAGTCTCAGCTACGCGCAAATATTATTGAGGAAAATTGAAAATCAGTAACAGAATTTCTAACTAATCTTTTCACCACTACATTTTATCGACTTAAAATTAAACGAATATTAAATCATTTCTGCCTTCAACTGGTAATAAAATTTTATTGAATTCAGATTCTACAAAAAAAAACTGAAACTTTTTTTTTATTGTTTAAATACCAGATCGCAAATCATAGCTAGTAGATTATCTTTTATTTTTTTCAAGCCTGCGGCTATAAAATCAGTTACACGAAAAAATGTTTGGATAACTTCATTATTAAATTGTTCTATCGATTATTAAGTTTCTCAAATAAATTAACTGAATGGCACAAATATTTCCAATAACTGGTAATTTTTTTTAATGTTTTTTTTCGGTGTTTTATGTATGTTAATGAATTTAAACGATTTTTTGTTTAAAGTAAATTTAATTTGTAAGCATCAATCAAATTAATCTTACATGAAATGATAAATTTATATCGTTCTTATCCTTAGAGTGAATTGAAATAAAATCAGATAATTTTTTGATTAAAATTATCATCGTAATTATTATGATTGCAACAGACAATCGTTAATTTGATAAAAAAATCTGAATTATATTGCTTTATTTTAATATTCAGAACAAAATCAGACTAATATTAGATGAAAGAAAAGACTCATCACCCGGATCAAAAAATTAGTTCTCCGAAGGTTTCTTGAATGTTCCCCTCGTTGGACTACGTGAAACTTTTGGAAAATGAAATTGTTTTTTTTAATTTTTACATAATGAAATTAGTAAAATAATGACATATTGGCGAAAAACTGTAAGACACGAAAATGAGCATAACTTCTATGCTAATGATGCTAAGGGGTTGATCGAGGGCTCATATAAAAGATCTTGACGAAAGGAAAATAGTCGATGTAGTGAAAATTATATTTGGCGCATAATTCATGCAAAAATTTAAGCAAGTTCCCGTTTTACCCATTTTAAGAGTGAAATAATTGATTTTTCGTATGTTTGACCAGATTCCGTATTTCTACGCATTGAGACGAAGAGAATGAGTCCTCGATCATCAAAATCGGACAACTTTGATTTTTCGACCCCAAAAAATGGCAAGTGGTTTCCTTTTTTTAGGCCAAAAAATAAAAGTTCTCCGATTTTCAAGTTTGACCACTCATTCTCTTCGTCTTGATGTGTAGAAATACGGAATCGGGGCACAGCCCGGGAAAATTCAGTTTAACACCCTCAAATAGGGGTAAAACTGGATACAAACTACTAATCATCATCCCCCTGACTTCGAACCCTTATAGCTCATGAACACATGGTCCAAAACCTGATTTTAGGGACGTTTTGAAAACCTCAAAATCCAAACTAAACACTCATATCCACAAAAAATGTCTAAAAAGTTTCTTTCGACCTTAAAATCGCTAAAATATAAAAAAAATCACATTCTTGTGGGAAGTTGCCAATTATTTTAGCAATTTTGAGGGTGAAATAAATTTTTTAAACGTTCTTTATGGATATGTATCTTTAGCTTAGATTCTAAAGTTTCCAAATACTCCTCAAAAATTATCATTAGATGACTCGTATGAGAGTTATAGAGGTCCAAACTCAAGTAGAGGTAAAAAAATTACTTATTCTTCGACTTTGAATCTTCATAACTCGTCGAGAAATTAATAAACGATTATTTTTGAAAAAATCATTTTCAAGAACGTTAAAAAATTTATTCCGCCCTTAAAATTGCCAAAATAATTGGCAACTTCCCAAAAGACTACTTGTACTAAACAGCACAAATTTATTGACTCAGGATTTTTAACGATCTGTCTAGATGAATAAATAAACACTTTGATCTGTTTATCGTAAAGAGCTTTAATAGAATTTAACAAAGTCAACACAAAATATACATATTTGTTTCACACACCTAAAGTATTGAGACTGTTGAAATTTACTTTGAGTAGTTTAACAACAATACAGATAGTTAGGCATTTCATACTAGAGATGTGCATACAGCTTCACACAATACAAACTACGAAAAGTTACAACTTGCACTTCAATCTACTGCTGTCTGTAATACAGCATACCAATGATGCTTAACAGTTACCTGGTTCGTGTTTAATTTCCAGTAGTTTCATATTATATTAGTAATAATCTATGAGGTAATGTAAATCTCTGAATGATTATTAAATTAACAATGAAGCTCATTTTCCAAAAGGATACCGTTTCAGCCAATAGGATATCGATTATCCCAAATGGATGATCAAGTATCCATTACTATCCTAATTTCATGTACATATTCGAATATCCTGGTTTTAGAATGACTCCTTTTAGTTTCATTGTAAAAAAATTTTAATTATTTCTTCTAATAATGTTTTTATTTTAAAAATTTTCTAATACTATTTCAGGTAATTGTCTGGAAGTGGGACTTTACTCCAACTTATTTGAAAGAAGTCCTTAGTATATCCCAAAGCTGGACAAACTTTGACTTTTCCAGAGTAGAAATAGAGAGATACTTATGCAAAGATTTAACGAAGCTCGAAGTCTCTTTCACTTACCTTTCTGGTAACCATAGATCCACTTAGAAAGTATTTGGAGCAGCAAGAGCCAAGCTTTGTCCAGCACTATTCTACCTTGACACTATTGTGAAGGAATTAAGTGGCACTAATTTAATATATTATTAAAGATTCATTATATACCTTGAAATTTTCAGTAAAATTTCATTATATCATTTGTTTCAAGTTTTTAAATTAAATTTTTTCATCAAATGGCCCAAAAAAAATATCATCCATCAACTCTTTTACCTTCATCCTCTAAAAAATAAAAACGAGATTTCTCCTCTCACTATTTGTAATGATTTTCTGTCTCATTACAAATTAGTTTCATCAAAATATTAATAATAATACATGAAATAATTTGTATTTATAATACAACTACCTTTTTCGGATAATAATAATGATCTGATGTACGTTAATTAACAAATGGAATCGATGAGTCTATTTGTATCATAATTAATATTTAATTCACTGCCTGATCATGAATTTTAATCATGATCTAAAAGCTCTGATTATGAATATTTTATGTTTAAAACACAAAATCTACAACAGCGAATTTCTATAAATTCTCGAGCTTCTCTTAACAGCACACAATGTATTACTTCTTTTCATTTAAGCTCAATCGACAAAGGGATTAGATCGAAGATAAAAATCGAAGTCGACTGTGATGAATGGTAAATGTGTAGAAAAAGTGGAAATTAATCCGCTTCGGTTTGGAATAAAATGTATTTTGTAGTAAATCTCCAGTAGGTATTTTGCTCTAAAGAAATATGATGCCCTAGTCTAGTCGATTTATCGACAAAAGCTTGGTGAATAGAATGGAATACTCACTGATACAGCTTTTAAGCTTGTTCTGGTGACCTCTGTATTATGATATTTATATGTATGTTCTAACTTTAACAAATATGTACGTCCATTTATGTTTGCATACATAAAACATAGCCCTTCCTATATGATGATGATGATGATGATGATAAAGATTATTTCCCAGCCAGGGGCATGTTCTTCTAGTCTTTGTTGTTTTGTTTCCTTTCATCAAGAAATTCAAGAATACCTTATTCACAATTTACTTTTCTTAAAGTATACAATATTCAATGCAAAGTCTATTCTCTTTAGTTTTAAAAAAGTTTCCAAGTCTGCTAAGAATTAATTCGTTCATTTTTTACCTTGACTTTTAGTCTCCTAACTGTTATTCTTAATTAATTACTCAATGACATTAATTAACACTAGAAGAGTCTTGTAGAAACTCATTTCTAATTGATAAGATGGAGCAACTTTGTTTTTTATACATTACAACGAGTAATGTCCAAGTTGAGATATTTGCTAGAGATACTTTGAAAAGATTTGCTGGAAACATCAGCAAGTCGAGCGTTATCCAAAAGCTCATAGATCTAGCCTGGAGCATCCGGTACATCCGACGGTCCTACGATTAATAGGTAAAGTTCTATCATGCTCTCTCTGACTCTTCTGCTTTAAAGTCTCCAAGGTATAGTCAAAGATTTGTCTATGCTCTTGGTGCGAGTAAGAGCATTATTTCGAATAACCAATTTACTTATTGAACACCAGCCAGACCTAATATCTATACGATAAACTTACTCGTACTTTTCTACTTATCGTTTTATACAGGAATTACCAACTTTGAATTTCTTTCTATATCTTCGTGAAGTATATTCCCAACTCAAACGACCAAATAGACGATCTACATATATTTATCTTATATAAGCTTTAAGATTGAATTAATAAATTAGTTCATGATCAAAACTCAAACTTCAGCGATAAAATTTGCTTGAAAATTGAAATTTAATACTTACAGTTGGATAAATAACTTGATTTATTCATCAGAATCTATCAAAATCATCTTTCATTCATTTTTCTTTTCATTAATTCAATCCTTCATGGAAGAAGTAAAAAGACTTAGCAACTATCAAAAATTAGTGATGATGAAAATTTCAGTTATAACTTTTATTGTAATTTCTAGAATTTTTAATGTAGATTTTCCAAAAAGTTGGCATGAATGATCTGAACGAAAGTGATTGTATGAAAAGGAAGAATGAGCTGAATATTTAGAACGTTGGTGACTTGAAGCATATGAAATATGATGACGTCTTGAGCTAATTTATTAAATTCTTAAATCATTTAAAATAATCATCATTTTTTTAATATTTTAATATAAACGTACTCCAAGTTTTACATTAGTAATGATTGATTTTTTTATTTTGCAGGTATTCCAAGCTATGGTGCACTACACAGTAGCAAAAACTCGGAATTCTCCAACCAAATAGCTGTGGACGATCCATCGTCAAAAAGTGGTCCATACTTTGATGTTTCAGCGTCAAAAAACGTCACAGCTCTTTTAGGAAAGACGACATACCTCAACTGTCGAGTAAAAAACCTTGGCAACAAGACACAACTAAATGTAAAAAAAAAAATATTTCGTTTGAATTCTTATTTACGAATTTATTCAAAGTCTAGAGAAGAATGCATGCTTGATTTCACAAACAAATAGTCTTTATCAGAATTTTTTGAACTTGGCTAAAAAAACCTGTGAAATATCGAGTGTTGATATTTTACGAGGATAATAGAGGACCGTCTGTTGCTGACAAATCGTGGGGGTGGTGAATTGAAAGTGCACTACTGAGCACTGGCCGCTGGACTCTTGACAATGCCATCCACCAAAGTACATTTTCTACTCTGTGAATGCTCTATATATGTATAATCATTCCTCAACCCCCTTTGAGGTTTCCAACGCTTGCCTTCAGAACCGAATGGTCCAGTTTTTCCAACTCTATCCACGCTCCAGAACTTGTTCGACGTGCCGAGATAAATTAAACCCACAGGGTGGTTATCGATAATAAAGATAAAAAAAATTCCCTCACAGATTTCTTGTTATACTTCCCAAAATACTAAAGATAGGTAATACCACTCTGTAGATAGTCCAAAATAATTCTACAAATTCACTTTTAATTGAGATTTTAATGAATTTTGCCAAGTATTTAATGGCTCTTCATGAAGGAAATCATAATAAAAACTATAAAACTTATCGTGAGAAATAAAAAAGAAAATAAACTCGGAAACTAAAATGGATAAAACAAGAAATAGAAGAAAAGAAAGTATTTGATTTAAAAGATTGAGTTTTATATACATTCCAATCTGAACATAGGTGCAAGTATACATTTCTCTAACGCTCTTTCTTTCTAACTTTGTTTCATAACATATTTTCTATATTTTATATTCATTGGTTTATAATCAATTTTTAGATAAAAAAAAAGTTACCAATTAAATTCGAAAAAAGTATTTAAATGATTTTATCCCTTTTTTGAAACAAAAAAAGGAACAAAAAATTGAAAAAAACTCTTGAGAACAATTTATTTCTTTTTATGCTCCAAAAAAAAAGAGACTGAAAAATATTCTTGTCAAAGGGTTTGATGAAACAAATGTCTGAGATTTTTTTGACTTTTAATAAAAAAGCTTGTTTTGATTCTGGATCCCTGGTTATAGGTATTGATATGGTTGTTAATCTTTAAAGGGGACGAAATGAAAGTGTAAAAAATGGATTACACACGTCGCGTTTTCATAAAGATTAGTACAAATGTGGAAGTTTTATAACACACATGTTATAAACGTAAATCATAAATGCGAAGCACGTGTGGCCTACGACCACCTTGACTTGCCAGGTTGCGGACTCGCCTCATCTGTTTTGTCCGCTTTCTCTTCTCTACTCAACCTCCCCACAAAGTCTAGATATTTTTTTCTTTATTTTTATTCTTTTCTTTCAACTCTACTTTTTCTCTCTCAGCTTTTACGAGCACCCTTTCTTCTTATTCTTACTTACATCATTCGGTTCGTCTATCCTCATACAATCGTGCTTTACTTTTATTCTACGAGGATACATTTCTCTTACTTCACTAGCACTCTTTTTCAAAGTTGTCACATGAAGTAGACAAAATGGAATGAATGCCCATCGTCTTTTTATACATCTCATTACTTTAGATCTAGATTTTTACGTGCTCAAATCATAAAAAATTAAGTTTTGAAAATTAAGTGGGATTTTTAATGGACTCGAGCCATTGAAGGGAGTTTTATTTTTAATAAAAATCTTTTTTTTTAATAACAAAGTTATTTTTACAATATAGGAATTTAGAAGAATCTATTAATAATAATTGAATCATTAAATTTGAAAACATTTTTCAATTGATCTAAAAAAAAAAATTACTAATCAATTATTCTATAAAATTTTAATTTACTTCATATTTAAAATTGAATCTATTGTTGTTCATTGTAGTATTAAAAATTCAATGAATATTTATAAATAAAAGAGTACAAAATAGGAGTAAAAAATTCAATCCGATTTGTACGTTTGCATCTCATTATTAGACGTACAATGCTATTTTATATTTTAAATTTCAATTTATTATTCATTAAAAAAAATAATTTCACTAATGATTTTTTTTTCTTTCTTAAAAATCTTTTGAAAATTAAAGTGAGGAAAGAAGGATTACAAACAGGCTTTTCGTATTTCACAAGTAAAAAAGAAAAGTATTTGCCCTGACAGAGTATCAGAGTTGGATTTAAAATGATAAACGAATCGAAGGATATCTTTTCTTCCAACACTTTCTAATTTTTTATCCATTTATTCACTCGCTTTATCTATTCCTCGTTCTTGGAAATGCTTAGTTTGATTTCGTAGATACTCCGTTCAATAATCTTGTATTTTCCACAGTCTGTGAGTGAACGTAAGTGGATTGGTTTGTGACCAATGTCACTATACATAGCTACTTCTCAAACTTCTATTCGACATTTTTTATTCCAAATTTTAACTTGAAAATTTGTCAGCATTTTTATTCAATTCTTCAAGTTGGAGAAAAATTCTTTTCTTCTCATCTCAGAACTCTTGAGAATCAGACTTCCAAAAAAATATATGAATTATTAATAGATTTTATAAGTGAAGATAAAAAAATTCCATTACTTGATTAAGCCAAAATGTTATTATTCCCTTCACGTAGTGTTTTTGTGTCGTTATAGATTATAGATCAAATTAATCAGTCAAATGACGTCCACTCAATATGCAGAATTATGACGAACTAATCTGTGGTAAAATCATTTGCTTTGTCATATGTTACTTATACAATAGCAAAGTACTTGGTGTTCAGGCATTAATACTTTTCACCAGTTATTAATTAATAGAATTGAATTTCTATTAATTATTCCTTTGTTAACAATAAATATTTGTTCATTTGCATAACTCATTTGACTTTAATTAATAACGTTTATCCATTCATTTCGGCAATGTCAATGTATTTTATAGTTTTATCAACCAACTTAATTATTATTGTTAGCATTAATCAACAGCTAAAGAGCGTAAATGTAGTTTACCTTTTATTGGGGGTCGGATCATAAATAATAGTATCATTCAAAGAGTAATGATATTTAATTGAAATTACAAGAAAAATTATTTAATTATTTTTTACAAATTTAACAAATAAAATTGCTCTAAGCTAAGTAGAAAAATTCAGCAAATAAGACATTCACTTTTTTAAGTATGTTTTCTTTCGTTAAACAATTTTTATTTTTAAACTTTGAATTTTGACCAAATGATTGAACAACTTTAATTCTTCTAGAGTGATAAGATGATTGACTAGACTTTTATGACTATTATTATCCAATTAAAAGTGTCATGATGAAACAATACAGATATCAGTTCACCTCGTTAGCACAAGATTGACACATTGAATTGCTAAGTCCTTCTCATCAACTTTATTTATTTAACTTAATTATAGTAAACACTTGTAATAATTTTTCTTCCTTCATTTTCATCTCAAGTTAAATACAAAGATAAAATTAGCTTAAAAATTTTCCAATTTAACCTCATTGTTAACTTGATTTTATCTTCTCTTCTCAATGCTGATGTAATGTAGAGAAATATAATGATAAATGTTAGTTGGAGAATATAATTCAGTGATTGTTTCTGATAGGTATTGAGGAATGGAATAAAAAATAAAATACCAAATAGAAGAGAAGAATTTGCGATCTTATGTGATCTACCTACTTGAACATAGTCAACAAACATTGAGGAAACACAGGAACAAAATACAAAAAGAGAGGAAGAATGTTGAACAAGGCTATATCGATTTCCACCAGTATTCAAGTCCCACGTTTTCTCGTTGTCGTTTCGTACCCTGAAGCGAATGAACTCGTTTGAAAATTCATCGAATTTTTTTTTGCGGAAATTGATGGAGTAAATTCAGGCGTCGGGTAATATCAAGCATGGAATAGAGGATAAAAGCCATACGGATAAGACAGGCATTTAATAAGATGAAAAAATCGATGGGAGCAAGGAAAATAAGTTGGAGGAAAATGGCAGATTATTCGATCAAACGTGAAGCAACTGCTTTTTACAATCATGATCTTGTAAAGATAGACGAAAAAAATCTCGAATGCAGCCTCTTCAACCATCCCCTTAAGTACTTAAGAGGCATTCTACACCTTCTTAAACATTATCTTTATTCACGAACTCCCTTTTTACATTTTTTTCTCATTTACTCTGAATAACCAAGTAAATCGACACTGAATTCCTCTTTTAATCTCATCAAGGAACCGCTTGAAAGACTAACAAATATAAATATTTCCTTTATTTCAATATTTCTGTTCTTTCATGGATAATAAAAAATAAAATTTGCCATAACATCAAATTGGAAAGAGTTTAAATATGAAATAAAATAAAATTGATAATAAATATTAAAAACTCGTTTATTTTTTGAATTTCTTCAATGGTATATCTATTGTAGAAATATTTTATCATGTTTTTATGTGAAATATAAAGCCACTCAAAATTTAATAAATTTAAAAGGATAAAATAAAATTCATTTACTAAAAAAATGTATTTTGTTCTTTTATTATATATATATGTTTTTATAGAAAATATAAAAAGCAAGTCTAGTGAAAAGCTATCGCACAGCGGGAGCAATTGACAAATGAAAAAAGGCAAACGTGAGGATCACAAAATAGTAGCAACATATATCGTGTATTTCGCGAGATCAGTCAATGATTGGTGGACACGGATTGTCACGTTTATTGGAAACTTCCAATGAAGCTTATTCTACTGCATTGACCATGTTCTTTCTCGCTTTCAAGCGACAAAGCCTGTGACAATGTCTAATCTACTGAGGTAGAGACAAAAACAAGAGGATCTATAGAGTTAACAAGAGTGAGAAAGACAGGAGGAGACAAGGGTGACCTAGTGCCTTGGAAAAATATAGAAAAAAAGAAATATAGACGGAAATATAAGGTAGAAAATATTTTATTTTTTTCCGCCACATAAAATTAATGGCCCAAAAACTTAATCAGTAATTTTCAGGAAATAAATTACTACCAAAGGAGTGAGATTATGATTATAATTTATCAGAAGAATTAGTCGGA